GGGATGCCCGGTGCCGTAGGGATGATGCCCGGGGGGATGGAGGGATGCCCGGTGCCGCAGTGGGGACCGGTGCGGCAGAGATGCCCAGCGGAGCCTGGAGGGGATGCCCAAAGGGTACCTGGGGGTGTAGGGGGACGTGGGGTGCCCCAGGCTTGCGGGGTGCGGGTGGTGGTGGGCTGGGTGGGGTGTGGAAAGGGCCCCCCCCTGCCCAGGGGCTGCCCCGTGTGTGCCCCAGCGACCCGCGGGGGGGGGACAGGGGCCGTTTCTCCCCAGGCGAACAGCCCCCTCCTGCTGCCGTGGGGGCTGTAGCCTCACGGGGGGGTGGGGGTGGTCCTCAATCTCCCCACGCAGGAGCCCCCGGGGCTGCAGTGCCGTGGTCTCTGGCGAGGGGCAGCTCACGCCGGGGGGGGGAGACCCAGGCTGGGTGCGAGGGACCTGGCTGGCCTCGGCTGGGCTGACCGAGGAAGGCTCTGGAAGCGTGTGAGCGTGCACACGTGCGTGTAAGCGTGCACATGAGTGTGCACGGAGCAGCGTCACTCTTCCCACGGCCGCGCTGTCGTGCGCACCGACAGGAGCGAGGGTTTGGCATGGCAACGGCTGGGGAACACCGGGTTGCATCCAAACCCTGCAGCAGCAACCAAAACCCTCACTACGGGCCCGCGGGCTACAGTGGCACCTGCCACCCTGGGGGCACTCGGCTCCGTCCTCCCCACGGCCCCGCTCTCTCCAGGCTCAGGTTTGGGTTTGCTTCCATTCTCCTCTCCTCCAGGCTCGGGAAGGTAAGCGGGGAGCTGGGCTGGTTTTGGGGAGCTGGGCGTGTTTCAGGGAGCTGGGAGCAAAACCCACGTGAGCTGTGCGGAAGCAGGGAGTGGGGGGAGGGTCCAGCCCCCTCCTCACCCCATGGCTGCTGAGAGCGTTGAGCCAGGCTGGCTGGTTGCAAGGAGCTGCAGGCTCTTCCGAGCTTCCCAGGGACCATGCCAGCACCATCCCCAAAGGGCTGGCAGAGGAAGATGTCATGTTAATAAATATAGCGGGTGCTAGCGGCAAGATGCCGGGTTAGAGGGGCGGCATCAATCAGCTGAGCCCTCGCTGCAAAGGGATCTCCCGTCAGCACAGGGGCACAGAGTCGTGGCTGCCCCCCGTCACCCCTTGCTGCTGCACCCCACCACCGGCGTGCACCCAGCCCACCTGCCCTTGCCTGGGCCATGCCAGGGAGGCTCAACTCTGGGAAACCTGTTCTCTATTTAAATAAGATAACATATATTAAAACCGCCAAATCTTGGCGAGCTGACAGCGTCTGTCTAAATATTTATCCCTCTTCCGATCAGGCGCTGTGTTCCCATGACAGCATGATTAGCACTTTGCATATTTATGGCCTTTCTGGGTGCTGGGCTCCCCCTGCTTGCCTGCCCCATGCCCGGGGGGGGTCATGGAGCCCCCCCTGTCTTCCCACCCACCCGGCAGAGGTGAGCCCTGGGCCAGCAGCTGTCCCTGCCTGGCATATCCCTGCTGGGCTGTGCTGGAGCTGCCAGGAGCATCCAGGGCCAGGCAGGATGGAAATGCAGCAGAGACGGGCAGGGCAGGGAGCGGGTGCTGCGTTTGTCCCCCACAGCACAGGAGGTGCAGCACTGAGGATGCGGCATCTTGTCCACGCAGAGACACGAGCACAGGGGACAGCGTGGGCATGACCTGCCCCAAAAGCAGGGTCCTGCTCTGCCTCCTGTGCACGAGCACCAGGGGACTGGGTACCCGTGGGTGCCGGGCGATGGGGATGGAGCAGGGATGCTCCGGCTCCCTCCTGCACGGTGCTGCCCTGCCCCACGACGTGGCCTCGCTGGGACTTCATGCTCTGGGGACACCACATCCCGCCCTGGCTCTGCAGGACGTGCCAAGGGTCCCGGCCGCCGCATCGCCCCTGCGCCCCATGGCAGCGTGCGGGAGGATCGTGTCAGGAGGGATTAGGGCTGTGTCTAGAAAAAGGGCTAATTCAGAGCCAGAGGCACAGGGTGGCTCAGCGCGGCTCTTCCCCTGGTGCCACTGCTCTGGCAACACAAACAAAACCCTCACAATCAGCTGAGCCGCTTGTGCACCGGCAGCCGCCAAAATCTGCTTTCCAGTTCCCAAATGTGGCAATGCTGAATTTAACCCCAAACTTTGGCACATTTAGGTGGCATCTCACTGAAAGGGCTGGTGGCAGCTGCCCTGGTCCTGACAGCGGCTGGGGGTGTTGATACGCTACCTCATCCCTGCCTCACCACACACGCTCGGGTTGGTAAAAAAGGAGAAAAAAGGGCAGAAATGGTGCTAGCGCTTCTCGTGTACAGCTTCCAAAAGGATTCGTGCTGCCTCCTGCCTGTTGTGCTGTGGGCACCGTGGGAGACGTGCCACCCGCAGCAGGGTAGCTCTGGGCTCCTGGGGTGGGAGCAGGCGTCACTGCGGGTCCCTTGTCACCTGGGAGCAGTGCTGCGGGCGAGGAGGAGCCCCGAGGGGGCTGCAGGAGCGGGGGACACAGAGTGTGCTTGGTGTTCCCCCCCGCCGTGGTGCTTTCCCAGGGGGTTGTGTTAGGGCTGCAGAGGTGGGTGGCTCCCTGGGGCTCGTGGGAGCGATGCCCCCAGTCACAGCAGTGCCCCCAGTGCTGCGCTCGCCGGGGTCTGGCCTGGCTGAGCATCTCCTGCTGCAGCTGCGGTGCTGGCTGCATGGAATGCTGCATGGAACGCTGCATGGTGTTGGGGCTGGTGATGCGCCAGCTGGTATAAAACTCTGCACAATCCCTCGAGCTGTGGCCGTGGGGGGGGGCTGGGGAAGGGGCACCTGCTGCCTCCTGCTCCACAGAGACTGCCTTTGGCTTGGGCTCACTGTCATCTAAATTGGTAGATCCCCATCTCAGGAGTTCTCAAAATTGGTTTAGGAAAAGAAGACTTTAAATGAATTTTATTAATCTTAATTGTGACAACTCTTTGACACGAGCTCTTCCCTGCACCCCGCATGGCCTGTCCTACATGTCCCATGAGGGATCAAACATCGGTTTAACCAGACCAGCCTCCCCCCGCATGGCGCGGTGCGGCGTCTCACCGCCCCCCGGCAGCGGCAGCACCAGCACCAGCAATCCTGCTCTCGTCCCTCCTCCCCTCTGTGGGGAAAGCGGCAGCTCTTCTCACCAGGCTCAGACCCCAGGCAGCCGCACTCCACTGTGCTCCTGCCCTGGTTGTTTTCCATCGGTCGAAGCAGCTTGTGCCCCTTCCCCTCCACGGTGCCGGGTGGGACTCCCCTCCCCGGGGCAGATGCTGCGGGCTGCGCATAGCAAGCGTGTGCCCATCCCTGCAGGTGCTGGGGGGGCCGGGCTGTTGCCTTCACCCCAGCGGTGCCTGTGGCCGTGCCGGTGCCCGTCCCCAGGGCAGCATTGCCCATTGCCAGCATGTGCCCGGGTGGTCCCCAGTCACCTCTCCTCTGTCCGCAGGGGCATTGCCTCCCATGCCTGGCCCCGTGATGCCACCTCACCCACCTGCCCAGTGAC